TGGAAAATACAACACAACATCACACACCGCAGGATATTAAGAATATAGTGTAATCAGTGAGCAGTTGGGAGCGTTGAAACGAGGGGAAGTCGGCCCAAAAGTCCTGTAGTCTGAGCCGGGCTTAACTGGCTGCTGCTTTATGAGGCACAAGAGTGTATCCGTCTACTTACTAATGCTCAGTAATTTAGAGAACTAGTTAAATTGGAGTAATCATTTATATATTTGTTGGGGGGGTGAAATGTGAATGCTCTCTTACTTTCAAGGAGAAAAATGCCCTTCTCTAAGAGCACCGTCTCAACTCAAAAAGACGGGAGGCATTTCTTTAATCAAATGTTCCGTCGTCTTACTTGTCAGGTTATTGCTTTAGAGATGGAGAAAATCGATTTACATCCAGCAGTTGACATTTAATGGATTAATTAGTGGCAGCTTCAGCCTCAGAACGTCTTCATCCAGCCCAGTTGTCAGGATAACCACCCACTAAGTGAGACGAGGAGGGCTGTGGAATGTGTCAACTGGTGTCTGGGGTTGGGTTGGAGCTTAGAGAACTGTGGGAACTCAGGCATTCCTTCACAGCTCCATGGTTAGTAGGAGGCATCTCCCTCTCTGATTGATCCAGAGGACTTTCACCCTCCGCTGAGGCTTTCTGTTAATACTCACATGTGTGGGATTTACACTCTGGCTGCATGCCAGCCTAGTATAACACCTCTGACAAGCTGCTGGTTAGTTCAGTTTTTCAGTAATATCTGCCTTAATGCACACTTTGGGGATTTAGGAATCTGAGAATAAAGCGTTTGCTGATTTGTTTCACTGCACTATATAAAAAAAACAGTGATGCTGACATCTGATGAAGAGAAAGTTTCTGTCTGTATCCCTGTAGGGGGTTAATAAATGTTATTATAGTGTATGAATGAACTGTATTTAGTTTACACACTGAAGCAAGCTGTGTGTTTATCACATTGTCGGCAGTTTCAGACTCGTGACTTAGCTTAGTGACACAGCAGGGGATTAATGATGTGGTAGGCAAGCAGGATACATACATTTAGGATGAAAGTCTTTAGCAATTTTATTTTGTCTTAAAATACCTGCAGATTCGATGTTGGTTGGTTCAGCATAAATACAGACATTTTTCACACCTGCCATTTTCCTGAAAACACTTCAGATATGAGTGTATATTAAGCCTTTGGATGTTTGGATGTGAGAAGCCTCTTTGAACAGCAGATGATTGAAGGTTGCTGTGGAGCTGTGCCACCGTCACCGCTCATCCTGGGGGCGGGGGTTTGTTGTTACACTGGTGTCAGACACTGGGGGTGTTTCTGGCTTTTAAAGGCCGGTGTTTGTTCATCTGTCTTTTGACCAAGCTGTCTTGACTTGAATGTGTGCCTCATGTCAAGGTTTGAGCCTTTTCTTCTCACGGTGTCCATCATGAGAGTAAGTAGATTTTCACTTCTCTTTTTTTCTTTTTTCTTTCCCAGAGCAGATGTGGATTGACTTTGACAACACATTTCAGTTTAATGGCTGAGAAACCTCTTTTATAGGCTCTTAAATTTAATTAAGCTATTTCCGCTTAATTTAGGTTCATATTTCTTAGTCATTCACCAGGGTAAGATGTGAAAGGCCCACATTTGCATAGCTTTATTGAACAACTGTGAAAATGTCTGTTGTTCAAGCCAAATCCTCGCTCTTTCCAACTGGGACATGGGAGCTTGGCATCTGGTAAAAAGGTTTGGATTGACACACTGACCTGTTGTACCACCTCGTTCCTTCCCAGCCAGCTCTGAGAAGCCTGAGGGACCTGCCAACGACATCTACTGAGAGACCTAGAAACTTACAAACCGGGGGATTTTTTTTTTTTTAGCGCCTGTGGCAGCAGCAACCTCTAGCATTTAAAAGAACCACATAAGAAAACGCAGAAAGATGTGATCTGTCAACATGGATTTGATGGGTGGCACCATTTAAGCACAGTTAGACAGCATATGTCAGGCGTCAAATTTGAAGTTGATTTATGTCGAGGCCAAACATATTTAAGGGCACGAAAATCTGTCTGTGATCCTGCTACTCGTGTACCGAACAGGTTTGGTAGCCTGAAGGCTGTCTGGCAATTAAAGGAGACAATTTCAATCAGCTTTCTTGACTGAAACGAGACAGGCGTCAGGACGCTGAGTGGTCTAATCTGTGTCTGTGTGTACATTCAAGCAGATGTTGAGTGGGAGGACTTGTGTAGCTGCAGACTTGCCAGGAAATGTTTGAAGTTTGACTCTCTTCTAGTGAATATACAACGCAGTCCTACAGCCCAAAGGGGTCTTTTAGTCCCACCCACACAGTTAAAAGCTAACTGGTCCCAGATTACAGGTTAAAGCTAATGTTGGGGCTGCAGCTCCTAATCATGCAGATGCTTCCTCACTGGGAAAGCTGTGCACTTTGCAATATGGGGGAGAAGACGCACCGGGGGTTTTATTTGTGGATGAGAACAATTTGGCTTGCCAAGTGTTCCTGTGTGACGAGAAGCAGATTGGGCTTGAATTCAATCGTAAGAGCAGAAAATGCCGCGCAAAAAGCAGAAAACATCTGAGTAAAAGAATGTATTTGCAGGGTTACGGGTTAACAGATAGGAGTTTTAAAAATGGGGATATATTTGGTTGGTTGCACATTAAATTTCTTTAGGTTTGGCTGTTTTATACTAAACACCTAGAAGATCATCACCTGTCCATCAAACACTGCTTGGTGCTTGTCGTTGGGCTCGCGGTGCCGTGTAGCGGTCATCTGTAGGACTCTGCAGACCTCAAGAGACGCCGTGTCTGCAGCTGAACTCCTCCACTGGAGACAGCGGCAGATATTTAGAGGTCAGAGGTCACACTGCTGCCGGGGGCCCCCTTAGGTGGGCTGACCCCTCATGGTGACAGCTGGACAACCAGTCAAAGAGTCGGACTGCCGGGCCACACCCTGGGAGAGGACCGTGTGGGCCGCTGTGTTGTTTCAGGAGTGACAGCACTTCACAGTAGACTTCTTTATTGATACAGATGCTACAAGACAAATTCATCCTACTAATCTTACTCTCTTTATTCTACTGGGATCAGTAGTTAGGGTTGGATATTAATGTTAATCCAGGCAGTGGTTATATGACGATTCTTTACACACTAGAAGGTAGTGAGTAATCCTCACAGTTCAGTCTATTTTAGTCTATTTGTTCTGTAATGTTTGGGTAAATGAATCTGTCATACTGCAGGGGCAATCATATATAGCACATTATTGTTTATTTTACATTGGTGAAGTGTAAAGACCATATCTCTTATCATTTAGATGAGTTTGATAAGAGATATGACACTCCCAGTTTATGGACTCATTCTAACAAATGCTCTTTTGTACTTTTAATAGACTATTTATTTTATATTTTATTGCTATTTTACTATTCATACCACCTTTTAACTTTTTCTTTTAGACTATTAGATACCAAACAAACTTTCGTTGTATTTCTTGTACAGTGACCATAAAGCTTCTTCTTTCTTGATGGAACGTTGTCACATATGATATTATCGCTGTAAACCCCAAACCCACAGTTTTGGCCTCTGATTAATGGTGTGTTTTAATTTTGTTTTTATTTTTTAAGATAACGTGAAATTCAGACCTGCTGGTGGGTTGTGGGGTTCTGTGGGTTTAGGAACGTGACACTTACCTCGAGAGAGATGTTGTGAATCTCTCAGCGCTGCAAATATCAGCAATAATCATTATGAAGCTACGTTGTTAAGCAATAAATCGCTTCAAAAATGTTCACAGGAACGCTTCATTGTTTTCAGGTGTTTTATAGATGCTCACAGCTGATTTAATTGAGAAAATAATCTGCTGTTAAATCAGTAATGAAAATAATAATTAGCTGCATCTCTACAGTCAGCATCAGGCCTCCTGTCTGCTCCCACCTCTGAGCTGGTGAGCTTCACACACAAACAGGAAATGAGATAGAAGCAACAAACTGACCGTACCTGATGTAGGCTTACACTGACATATCCATAAGATAGACTAGACTAGATTGGATTGTACTTAATTCATCACCACAGATGGAGAAACTCACTTGTTGCCGTAGTACAGATGCAAGAAAAGAGCTGAAAATAGTAACAAGTTAACCTAAGAAAAAATATATATACAAAAAAAAGAGGATAAATAAAAGTAGAACTATAAATAGGAAGAGCAAAAAAGAGAAACAAATAAAAGTATTAATAGGAAGAGCATTGCACATTAGAAATGGGTAAAAATGTGATACAGACCATAAAGGTCACATTGACTGTTCATTAAAACAGGATAGAGCTCCTCAGTCAGATTTTAAGAGATGAGTTTATGATGTTATGAGTCAGAGGCTGACCGTGTGTTTCAGACACCAAATTCAGCTGCTGTATTAAATAAGTTAAAGGGAAGAAGAGAGATTTTCAGTGTATTTAAGCTCCCACTTGTTCTGATGTTCTTGTGTGTTTGGATTTTCCACAGGAACGACAGCGACTAGAGACCATCCTAAACCTCTGTGCTGAATACAACAAAGGAGAGAGCCCCGGCCTGGACCCTCTGGGCTCAGGGAGGACAGGTTTCCCCGGAGGTCTGTCCGATGGCTCTGGGCGGAGACCGTCTATGGAGAACGTCCTGGGAGGGATGCCGTCCTCAACCTCGCTCCGCCTGGCACAGAGGCAGAGGGAGAGTGACGAGGAGAACCTGAAGGAGGAGTGTAGTAGTACAGAGAGCACTCATCAGGAGGTGAGGGCATCTCCTGCTCCCAGCACAGCATCAGCACTGCACAATGGAGACCGACAGGTCAGAGGGAATGCTTATTTCCCTGTAAAGATGCTCTCTGCATGACGCTGTGGGACCAGCATGTGCAAACGCTTTGCTGCATCAGTGGTTCTCAAAGTGTTCCTAACCAGAGATCTGAGAGAATTCAGTGTGATCTTGAACAAAGGAGAAATTTTCGATGGTCATGTTTAGAACAGCAGAGCAGTTACATGGTGAGGTTGAAAACTGAGCAGCTTTAATTAGATCTTCAGAGTAATGCAGTTATTATTTTTTCAAGTGACATTTAACGCTTTAATGCTGAAGGCTGCTAGTGTGTAGAATGTTACGTCATGGATGCATGTGAGGTGAACATCATGCATGCGTTATGTGAGGCCAAACTGCTTTGTTCTACATGTCAGCACCCCTGCATGACCTGCAAAAATAAATGTGTCAGGCAGAGATTAGTGTCCATTTCAGTGTGTTTACTGTAATGTCTGTATCATGTTCAGCCTACAAAGCTGAGCCGAAAGATCAAAATGCACGAATGAACAAGTGACTCGTTTACTGTAAATACTTCTTGAACTTGAGAGGTGAAGTCACGTCAACGTTGTTTTTGTAGCAGTTTTAAAACAGACATTAATTCAAAGTGCTTCCCAAAAGATAAATTACATTTATGTCACTAATTTACTTGACTACTGTAAATATTGAGCTCAAGATGCGACAGTAGAATACAGAGAGTCAGTGGTTAGAAGCTTCATCTTCACAAAGCTACAGTCTGATATTTTGCACTTTAACAAAAAATCCTGCTGATGGCTTTTTGTGTTGTTTGTCGGAGGCTATAACGTTACAGGTCTGCTAAATAGTAGGAAACCCATGTTTGCACGAGTTCCTGCATGAGGCTTATTCATCAGTCGCCTGTCATTTATCAGTCTGTCCTTGTTTTTCTGTTTCTTCTATCACTGCTTTCTGAATACAAATATGTTTTAATTCAAATAGTCAGTCTTTTGTGCAAATGTTGAATTATTTTGAATTGAACATTAATATCTCTTTCAGAATTTTTTATTTTTTTTATATATTTGGAAGTGTATTTAGGGTTCCCATGGGTACCCCAACTCCCACTTGAAACTTAAAGCTAATATATAACGTGGAATCATGAATTCATCCATAGCTGTGTGTAAACCTGAGAGATCACAGTCCTCACTATTAGACTGAATGATTTCTACAGAGTATATAAAACGTGACTCTGTTCTCTCGGCGCAGCACGAGGACTCCTCCAGTTCAGGCAGCGCAGGCCGTTTGGAGCTGGGCTACCTGGAGGACGAGCGGGTTCGCGTTCTGGCTCGGATTGATGAGCTCAAAAACCGACTCACGGAACTGGAGCAACAACTTCAAGAGTCCAAACAAGAGGTAGAGTAAAGCCATCTAGGTGTAAACACGATGCTCGGCTCTGTTTATTGTTTACGGACAGTTTCTCCTCAGCAGCAGAAAAAGCTGAAAACAGCCACGACATCACTTCTGGTGATGTTACCCTGTGGAGGGCACAAGCTCAGCATGAGATTGGTGTCGTAGCTCACCTGTGACACTTTGTGTGATCCACCCTTCAGGCGGAGATGGAGCGTGCCTTGCTGCAGGGCGAGAGGCAGGCGGAGCTCGACCAGATAGAGGCCGAAACGGACATCATCACTCAGCTGCAGCACAAGCTGGACGAGCTGGAGAGCGCCATCCAAAGGGAGAAAGACAAGGTACAGGGAGCAGTAATGAAAGGGTGTGAGGCAGATACGCACTTTATAAAGACTGTATTTGAGTTCACCAATTTTACAGATTTAAATATTTACAGAGGTTATGCACACTGGAAATGAGGGAAAACACACAGACACACTCACTGCCTGTGCTTTTACAGTCTCTAAACAGTCCTCTCTGGTCTACATTGTACATTCCCTGCTGGTTCATCACTGTCGGTGTTCAACATTCCTGTCTGTACTGAGCATCCCTGATCCGTGGGAACTGAATTTATTCATAGACAACCCCAGAATTGGAAGCCACAAAAAAGGCTGTATAAAGGACATGATCTACCTCCTGGGTGTCTTCTCTCGCATGTTTCCCATCTCAGTGGTTGCGTTTCTCGGCAGCTTGACTCCACTAACCATCATCCATTAACCCTTAAACCTTTCTCTGCTTCTCCAGCACTCACAGTTACCGTCTCTGTGATTAACTTTGCTCGCCTGTTTCCTCGCTGCATGACAGGCCCTGTAGGCCAGAAAACCTGCCCCTCCGCTGGACTCTGCAGTCTTTGGTTCCGTAGTGCACGGGTTCTGCAACAGACCTTTAATAAGGTGTTCCAGTAGCAAACAAGGGAATCGAGCATGTTCTTTATAGTGGTTCTAGCTGGTCCGTTTTTCTGTATACCTGCACATACTACATTTCACCACGAGTAACAAACAAAGTGGACAGAAGGCACATTTGCTTCTTAACTGCTGGTTATTATATTTGTGCTAAACTCAGTTTTCTCCCAAGTGTCACTGTGAGGACTCCTCATGGTTCCCCACAAGGTTCATGGCATGGCTACTTTGATTGCAGGTCTCAGTGTTCTCATCTCTCATCCAGTTTAAACCTACATTATATTTGATTTTTGTGCCTTATCATGTCCAAGCAGCAGGCATCTTATGTTTGACTCCTTTGTACAAAAAGGGATCAACATTTCTCATAAAAACCCAGGAGTTAGTGAAGAATTCCAGGATACATTCTCCATGAATATGTGGTTTCTCTGGGTTTTTTTTGACATTGTGATAAAAAAATGAAACAAACGTGTTTCTTAAAAGTGTTCACCTGAATTTCACCTTAATTCAAGAAAAGGAAAAAATGTGTCTTTTACTTTAAAGTTAGTCTTCTGTCAGTGCTGCCAGTCCTAGAGGACCTTGTATGAGATAAGACAGTAAAGCAAGTATCAGCAAGGTTAGTATTTATTGACTGACTCCTGAGCGTGAAACTGGAGCAGCACCCAGGAGACATGAGACCTCTGTACGTTAACTGGAGAGCATCTGATGTGGGATTGTCCTGTGGCCTGTAACTGCAGCAATTTTCTTCCACTTTATTGAAGGTGTAACTGCATAGACTCTGTCAGGATATTTACTGCCCATAAACTTCACTGACAGAATGAACGGTTCATGTCAGAACTTCCTAGGTAAGCATTCAGGGTTTTATCATTTGCAGTAATGATAGCGATAAAACTTGGAGCCAAGAAGTCACAAAATAGTTTAGTTTACCTGCTACCTGTGCTCTGCCCAGCCTTTAAATTCTGTCACGACATGTCTGTTGCTAACACCTTAAAGCTTATTATTTGCATGGCGTGGATTTTGAGCAGTGTGTTTCTCTCTCTCTCTCTCTCTCTCTCTCTCTCTCTCTCTCTTTCTCTCTCTCTCTCTCTCCTATCGTCCATCCATCCTGTGTGTGGGTGTGTGTTGTGTCTTTCTAGGAGAGGGCTAATGTTGAGGCCGAGCGCCGGGCCCTGCAGAGCCTCCAGGAGGGCTACGCTGAGCTCAAGAACCAGCTTCATAACTGTCCCGAGTCCCTGCGCGAACAGTTGCAGGAACAGCTCAAAAGGGTGGGTCAGCAGTCGAGCAGCAGCACCCAGACCACCCCTCCCTCCCTCCCTGGCTGCCAGCTCTGGCCTGCAGCCTTCAGCATCCCACCGACCTTTCACATAGATGACCCAACCAAGGTCCTTGTAGCTTGCAACAGAGTTCACTTTTTACAAACTGGAGCTGAAGTTGACTGGGCTGGCTCCCAGAGGCACTGTGAGGCATAAACACACATTTTAAATGTAGCATTTGTAATTCTAATGTTGTAACATAGTGGAGCATCTCTCATCACATTAAATCAAGTCCATAATATTTGTATTAGAACAGACTTCTGCATTTAGTTATATGGCAACAAGGAAAAAGCAGCTAGTTAGCATTTGCAGACATCAGTTTTTAACCATGAATCTGACCATAGCTGTGTATTAGAGTTTCTGTGAAACAGCCAAAAATTAATTAGCATTTTGAAAATACTTGTTTCTACAGAAACCGTACTAATAACTTATAAAGAATTAAAAACATTAAACCACAGCTAATGAAGCCAGTTGCAGTCACTGCCATCTAATTCAGTATAATTCGATTTAAACTAGAGCTGCAACAATTAGTCGACTAATCGGTTAGTTGTCAACTTAAATTAATCGCTGACTGTTTTGATAATTGAATTATCTAAACTTTTAATGAAAAAAACTCTCGTTTCTCTGACAGCAGCTGCTTAAATGTGAACATGTTCTGGTTTCTTTCCTCCTCCACAACAGCAAACTGAATACCTTTGTGTTGTGGACAAAACAAGACATTTGAGGATTATCTTGAGCTTTCACAAACACTGAAAGACATTTTTCACTATTTTCTGACATTTTATAGACCGGGCAGCTAAACGATTATTCTAGAAAATAATTAATGGATTAATTTCCAATACAAAAAACTGTTATGTGTAGCTCTATTTTAAAAACACTTGATTTGACCCAAAGGGGACAAATATGCAGGGTCATATAAAGTACATTGTACAAGAGATTTAAAATATACATAAAACCCCAAAAACACACACTACAATGCTAGTATAACATTAGTATTATTAGTAATAGCAGAGCGACGTGTAATCAAAGCTTAGAGTGGAACTAATGTGGTTAATTGCTGGTTGAGCTATCTTTATTTAACAGTTATCAGGGGATTTATTAAATCTGACTCAACACAATAGATTTATGTTGATTTCCAGACACCAAGCAACACATGTAATCAGAACAAAGTTTAATTTTTAAATTAAGATGTTAAAATTAACTTAAAAGCTTAAATAATTTTGCTGGTTAGTTTCCCTCAAAGGAAAACTGCAGCATGTGTGATTTTGGGGAATTAAGATGGTTATATGGCAGTGATTTTCAGGTCAAATAGTGAGTCTAAAACAGCCGCCGTTGCGAGCCAACCTGAAAACTGTAAGTCTAGCATGTGCCAGCGCTCAGCACATACCATCACACATAGTGCTACTGGCACCTTTGGCCCTGGCAGGGGCCCGCCGCATGTGGCTCCCAGACACACACATGCACACACGGACTCAGTGTAATTGTGAGAAGCCTTCTCAGTCCTCCCCACAGACGTGTTGTTGCCACAAGCTGGAGGAATTTTTTTCCCTCCTCCACACCACACCTAGGTGCTACTGGAGCCCTCAGGTCGATACAGGAGCACACAAATGGCTCCTGGTCACTTCAGCTGCTCCTGAGGCTTTCTGGTAAAAATCTGGGTCAACAAACAACAAACACGCTGCACTGCATGTGTGAATCTGATCTGCATCTCTTCTGTGATTTGTCACGGCTCACATAATGTGTATAACTGCTCACTAATCAATTAACATAGGCCCTGACTAGATCCATTCTCTGTCTTTGTTTGCTCTCATCCTGCGACTGCTCTTATGTAAATGAATGTTTGGTTTAGAGTCAGGCAGCATCTTTTTTTTTTACTGCTTATCAGGAAGGTGAACAAGACAGAAATCATTGTTTTTACCAGCTACAACACTTACTGTAGGCTATATTCAAATGCTGAAATACCTCATGAGTTGTCAGTGAGCAGTGCTTTTCAATGTGTGCCAATCAGGATAAAGTTAAATAACAAATAACAGAAGTTGTTCCCGAGGTGTATGTTTTTTTTTTTTCCAGTGTTTGGAGGTTTGACATTTTGAGTCGGCTGTTCTTGTTTTGACCATTTGGAGAAAAGAGTCATTTTGATTCTCAGACTGTATGTCAGCGAATTGACTTTCTAGACTTTTGTGCCCTTTATAAGTGCTGCAGAGTCTCTCCAGCTCTTTCGGACTCAAACACTCGTCTGCTTCCTGCTGTTAAACTTGTCAGCAACTGAACAGCAGGAGAGACTGGCTGCTTCTTAAGATAAAGCTCTGAAATACACACAGTTTATATATATGTTCACATTGAAGCCAGTCTTTTTACTGAAGATACTGACATTATTGTCCCATGGAGTGTTTGTACAACGACTCTATTAGCCCATATGATTATTACATTTATTCTAAAGCAGTCTGAGTAGTAAAGTAGAGTGAAAGTGATGGAAGTGCTATTAAATAGAAAAAAATACAAAAAACAACAACATAACAACTCTTCCAGTACAAAGCAGGTTGTGTTAATGTCAGTGACCATCCTTTGCCTCCTGTGTATAGCACTATTTCTAATTACCACACACTGGTAGCTGTGCTGCTGTAGAAGCATGTCCTACATGGCTGTCTGCTTGACTGAACATGGTGTGCTTTTAGTTGTTCCTAAAAAAAGAGCTTCGGCCATGCTGGAAAAATGTCTCAATTGCAAACTTAAAAAGTCAAGTGCTAATAGCAAAGTTGGACTTTGCTGTCAGCAGCTGCTCAAGTCTGGGAACCGTGGATGGCTTTAAAGTGATTGACATACAGCCGTGTAGGAGTTTATGTTTGTGACATAACCGCTGATGTTGTGTGGGGCTCCGTTAGGATGGAGAGGCGCTGGAAGCAGGAACTAAAAAGTTTGAGGACCTGGAGTTCCAGCAGCTGGAGAGAGAAAGCAGCCTGGAGGAGGAAAGAGAAACCATCAGCCAGCAGCTGCTCCAGGAGAGAGCGGAGTACCACGGCAGCGTGGCCAAGAGGAAGGTGAGGAGACACGAGACGGGAATACAGGAGTGTCTCTGTCTTCATATTATGGTTTGAACTGTGTGGATTTTTGTAAGAGATGAGACGCGTCAGTGGTAAGCTCAGTTATTGGGTTATCTAGTTAGCCTGACTGTACTCCTGCCAGAAAACCCGTTTTCCTGTAGCGTGTCAGACTTCTAGCAACACCATCCACACCACAGGAGATTCAGCAAGAAGCAGTGTTTGTGGGTTAGTTTGCGGTGCTTAGGGAATAAGTTACAGTGTGTACCGTGGAAGCAATGTAGAGCCTCAGAGTGCTTCACAAAGAAAAGACAATGTGTACCCACACACTGGCACACATCGCAGCCAAACAAGCCCCAGACCATCTGAAGGCCGCTGCACCAGGAGACACTTATTTTCTCACTGCAGAGGCAACATCAGTGACTCCAAAGTTGTTCAAATATTTCAATATTTACGTCGACAAAATGCTGCCACAGACTCGCAGCATTTCCATATTCCTTATTTTTGTCCTGCATTGTTCATTCAGCCCTGTCACATCCTTCCACTCTGGTGTTTAGGAAACTATTCAATGCATGCTATTTTATTGTCACAGCTTGTCGTAAATATTTAATCTTTTGTTTTTTTTCTGTCTCTCTGTAGGAGAAGGTGTCTGCTCTGGAGAACCAGGCCAGTCAGCTCGGCCTGCAGGCGTCTCAGGAGTGTGAGCGGCTGGCCAAAGACAGAACGCTCACGCTGCAAATGCTCCAAAAGGTAGCAAGGAGACAAACAGAGAAATAATATCCCACCCAAGCTCAGACTTTTTTTTTTTTTTTTTTTTTTAGAGAGAGAAAAGTACAGCCACAGAAATATGCTGATGCTTCATTAGATTTTGAAAGTTGCTCCTCTGAAGAACGAGCGTCTGTTTTTGTGTTCCAGGAGAAGGAGAGGCTGTCGGCCCTGGAGAAGCGCTACCACAGCCTGACTGGAGGAAAGAGCTTCCCCAAGTCTTCCACTGCGATGAGGGAGGTGAGAGAATCACTGAACCTGTTTGTTTGCGCGGGGAATAAAACACACACGCACACTAATTTCACAGTCGTCTCTCTCGGTGCTTTTGGCCTGAAAACACAAGGGAGCTTTGATGACTCACAGCTGATTTCTCACCACATTTAATCCTTCAACACACACACTGATTTGTTGTTGTGCAGACTCGATAATCGCTTGGATCTAACTGATGAAAGATTTAGGGCCGGAAATGTAACTGATCTGTGTTTTTAATGTAGAGTTCTCACTAATTAGCGTGCAGAGCCGACTAATCTTTCTCTAATGCATCGCTGAACTGACGTGTTTAACTCAGACATGTTTCTGAAGCTGTAACAGAGGGAAGGCGACTGTGAAGCGCAGAACTTCTATCTAGTGTCCCGTAAACATTCTGTCAGCATTAAAAGCACTTATCCCTGGACTGTCGAAACAGGAGTCGCTCCATATCAGCGAGGCCGACCTGTTGTTGGAGGATGTCCACTCCTCCCAGCACTCCCTCTGTCGAGCCTCTCCTTCCTACTTACATCCCTCCCCTTCTTGTCAGTTGTACCCCAGCAGCCCTACAGAGGTAACTGAACTAATGATCCCTGCATGACGCCCACAGCTTCCCCCCCCCCTGCTGTCTTGTGTGACTCACCCCGAAGGCCACCCGTCACCGTGTCAGTGTCCCGGTCACACTGTGGCTCTGAGTGCACCTGTGATGCTTCTTAACTCTTCACAAAGGCTTAAGTCAGTGCTTTTAGTTGGTGTCGTAGGGGCCACAGTTGTAACTTTCTTGTCGTCGACCGCCGCATCACTGGTTGCTGTGAAGTGCCTGTTTGTGGCCTAAGTGTGCGTCGGCCCCTTGTGATGCTGTAGACTCACTGTGTTTGTTGCTGAGTGTGTTCCTGTTTGTCTGTTGTCACACACACGATGCACTTTTAGCTGAAATAACAACAACAACAACCAGATTAATTGTGGGCCTGGTTGTTGGCATGCAAAGATGTGCCAACTCCGAGGAAAAAGCACTGTGGACTGGCTCTGTGCTTTTTTGTGTACAAGTCTGTGTGTGTGTTACTGTGCTGCGCCTGAGAGGTGCGGCACAACGCTGTCCTCATGGCTTCTCATCCTGTCTGTTGTTGGCTGTTGGCTGGCGCTCAGGAGTACCTGAAGCTGTCGGATGTCTATAAGATGTACGGCAGCGGCGGCCACCATGACAGCGGCCGGCCCGGCTCGCACGGCCGCTCGTTTGCCATAGATGCTGCATTAGCTGGCGCCTGCGAGGTACCATCACTTCCCATCTGTCTCTTTCCTGATCTGCTCTGTCTTAATTTCTGCTCTGTCGTCTCCTCCTGCCATCCTTTCCATTTCCATGTCATGTTGCTCCCTCTGCTGGTTTGCCGTTAATCAAACTGACTGTCGGCTTTTTCTCTCTCTGCTACATGAGCGTTCGCTGTAAGCAGCTTGTAGTCGCCCCCGCTGTAGCCGCGAGGCAGCGCTCACTTACAGTAGACACGGTATGACTGCTGTAACACCGAGTCATATTAGCAGTGCAGAGGTTCAGTGTGGCTGGATGGATTAATGATTGCAAAATGGAATGCTATAAATATCCACTTTTATGATTATAGCTTTACGATAACAAAATCATTTCCTTTATAACATGCAGAGAAGGCCTAATTGGACACTTTGATGTAAAACTTTTTTTGTTTTTCTTTTTGTCAAGATGAGACAAACTTGTTAATTGCTGCACTTTTGAAGTTAAAATGAGCACAAACTATGGAGTAGTGAGAGTGCCAAATTACAAAAATAAATCAATAGAAGAATAATAAAATAAAAGTGGAAATAAAAAGAATAGATGAAATAAAAAATAAATAATGTGGCAATATAAAGCAATAGTAAGCAAAAATGAATCCAAAAAAGAAAAGGCTAATGAAAATAGAAATATAAAGACAAATAAAGACAATAATATAAAATAATAATCATTTGTTTTTTTATTTTTTTAATTTATTTATTTATTTATTTTTAGCATTTTTATTTTTTTTAATTTTAAATTTTCTATTATTATTTTAAAATTATTTTTGAAATAACTTTTTACATTATTTATTTATTTATTTTTTCTTTTAAAGCGCTTTTTAAATGTCGCTTTAAAATTACAGGAAATATGCTCAGACAAATGTGCGCAGTAGGAATGTCATTATGCCTTTGCTTTTAAGGTGACATTATTAAAAAATAATAATAAAAAAATAAATGAATTTAAAAAATAAAAATAAAAAAATAAGAGAAAATAAATGAAAAAATAAGAAAAAATAAAATAAAAATGATACAAAATAAATTAAAATAAATACATAAATTCTTATTTTTTACTATTTTATTTATTTGTCTTTATATTTCTTTTAGCCTTTTCTCTTATATATTCATTTTTGATTAATATTGCTTTATATTGCCACAATATTTATTATTTTATTTTTTTATTCTTCTTTTTTTTCCACTTTTATTTTATTATTTTTTTTAATTATTTATTTTTGTAATTTGCCACTCTCACTTCTCCATACAAAAAGCTGAATAATTTAAATTAATTTAGAATAAGTGACACTGCAACTAAAAAAAATGTTGTTGGTTTTTTTCCCCCCAGTCCTCTAATATTGAACCTATAACAATAATAAATATGTAGAAATATATACTAAATGTTAGATTACAGTCAGCGGCTTCCCGTAGATGCAAGTGTTGTTTCCATGTTTGGGTCTGGCCCTGATGTTGACTGTGTGTATTGTGTGTTATAACCCGGTCAGTGTTTCCTTCCAGACCTTCCCTCCTCCACACCTTCATGACACTGAAGGGCTCTAAGTGTACTTGACGTGTTTCCCTCCCGCCGCCCGTCTTGCTGACATGTTTCTCTCCACTCCTGTCTCTGCTTCTGGTCTCCTTTCCTCCCCGCTCCTCCTCCTGTGTGCGATACCTCCGGGAAGGAGTATGTGACAGTGGGCCAGTTAAATCAGATGTATGGGATGCCGAAGGTGGAGTCGTCCCCCACCTCCCCGCTCCGCCAGCCCCTGCAGCCCGGAGCAGTAGACCCCGCCTTCTCCTGCTACCCCTCTCCTCACGGCTCCTCCCTCTCTCTCTCTGTGGAGGTGTGTGCTGCCCTTCCCTCTTCTCCTCCTTCCACATCACCTGTGCATGCACTCGTATAGACAGTAGTTTATGCCACGTGATCCAAACTAATGTCTGCTTGGCTGCTTCGCTGTTGTTTTTAAAAAAATAGTTTTTAAAGTGATTCAAGGGACTAAAAGCAAACACTTATTAAAAATCTGGTCTGAACTAGATAAGAGCTTCTTCATGAAAAGATGGCTGATAGACAGCTTAACATACAGCAGCAGCTACCGTTGACCCACATCAGACAAAAAGGATGCAGATGATTAATCAGAAACTAATACAGTGTTTGTGTCCCATTCTACGTACTGTTTGTATACAGTTTGCAATACATACTAATTGTCAAATTATCCAGTAGTTAATTCACAACACAATCAAAAGACTTAACTGTTTAATACTTATTAACAAGTGATTATGTGATAGATAGATATACATACAGTTGTGACTTGATAATCCGACCCTTAACAATCCAAAACTTTGCCATCCGACAGGCTTTTAGGAAAAACTAACGGAACCCATTAAAGTACCCTAACATACCGACAGCCTTGGATTCTGACTACGACATGACATTTTATGTCACAAATAAGGATAACGGCGTATTATCTGACTGAACAATCCCACAGATTGGCTACGTTCAGACTGCAGGACTTAATGCTCAATTCAGATTTTTTTGTGAAATCCGATTTTCTGTGAGTTCGTTCACATTTCCAATTAAATGCGACTTGTATGTGATCTGCTGTGTGAACTTCATACGACTCAAAAGTGTCCCACATGCGCAGAAGAGGACACGACGACGTCACACGCAGCGAGCGTGCTCAGTGTTCACGGAAGTAAACACGGATGGTAACGGTGGAGCATATCTGCCACTCCCCCACCGCCACTGATGTGACCACTAACTACACCGGCATCAGCAGCCAAGTACTGCCTGTGTGTTCCAACCACTTTCGCTCTGACAGGGTGGAATTGGCCGGAACGTGCACAAGCGCACCGGTCAATTAAGGCATGAAATCCAGTAATGTGTAGTGTTCTAAAAATACACTAGTTATTATAACAACTATAAACAATAAATATTAACAACAAATGAGCCTTCCAGCATGAAGCCCTCCTTGTATCTCGACCTCCGTCTTGACAATCCGACAGCCTTGCTATCCGACATCAAGGAAGGTTTTACATTTAGTGTCGGATTATCGAGTCACGACTGTAGATAGAAATAGATCGATACAGGAGCATTTAGAACATCACTTCCCACTGTGAGCAGCACCTTTGCTTCTTTTGTGACTTGCGGTGCTGGAGACTCCTGCTGGGGCCGATCAGCTCAGTTTGTGGAGGCAGGAACAGACAGATGCAGACTTTCTGCAGTTTGTTTACGCTGTCTAAAATTTACATATGACAAGTGACAGAACGGAGGAACTGTGTCGTTTCTGGAAGTGTGATGCTGAAATGACTGTATGTGCTGTTTATGATCCCACTGTAAGTCAGCTACAACCGCTTTTTTGGTGAAGCGGTGGTGCCGTTTCCAGAAGAGTTTATCAGCACTCCAGTGAAAGGACCCTCTTCCTTTTTCCTCTTATTGTTTCTATCCTTTACACAACTGTCCTTTGCTCTATTTTCCATACAAATGATTTAACCTACAGTGTAGAGCGAGTCTGTACTGATATAACTAAACCATTTGCCACAACTATTGAAGCCCGTTAGGACTCTGAACCGTGTGATGTTGCTGTATTTGTCTGTTCCACTGCAGGTTTGCGCAAAGTCACAGATTTTCCAAACATCTGTTAAACGTGTGCCCACAGTCATGCTGCTCACGTTATTAATGTTATCCGTCATGTTTGATATCCTGTATATTGTATTTTTCTCAGTCGTTCTATCTCCAAACTAGATTGCGAGAGAATTTTAATAAATCAGTTTTATCTCCTCGCTTCCACCAGGAGAAGAGAAAATAATAAAACATGAAACTGCTCTGTTTAACATGATTATGAGCTGCATGTGACGGTGATGTTGGAACAGTATTATGCAAGCAGCACGTCTCAGTCAGCTGTCTGGAATGACTTTATCACAACCAGACACAGATGGTAGAAACTCTCAGCAATAATGGAAGTAAGACAACAAAAGTGAACGTGGCGCGGTGATTCAAGGACGCTGTATCTCTCTGAAATGAATAACATGTATGTGAGATACATTAAACTGCTAAATCTCAAACTCAGTGTCCAACGACAGATTAGTGTAAGACATGAAATAAGAGAAACTTAAATGTTCTTGTGGGAAACTGGGTCATTGCAGCAGCAACATGGAATTAAAACACAGAAATGTAAAATAGGAATATAGCAGCTGGAGGGCATAAAGCACAATGTAGCTGAAAACAATAAGGCGTTGAATATAGTTAGGAATAATTTCAAAGTATAAAAAAAAACTTAATTACAGCTTTTGAGGGTGTAGAAAACAAACATTTCTGTCCTGTTCCTACTGTCTTTGAATGCTTTCTAATCTCCTCTTTGTCTTCTCATTTTCTTCTCTCCTTTTCCTTCATTCCCACGTTCTCTCTCCTTCTGTCTGTCTGTCTGTGCTGCTGCTCTCTGGGCTCTCCAGCACCAGGCTGAGGGCAGTAGGCCTCTCCTCCCCAAGCTAGACTTAGAGCAGTGGTACCAGGAGCTGATGGCTGGCTCCAGCCAGCTCTGTCCTCCCCCTCTGCCAGCCAAGTCGCTGTCTGGCCGCAGGCCTGTGCTGCAGGTAGAGGGTCTTCTTTTGTCTTTCTCTCATGTTTTTTTCACTCATTTCTCTGTGTGCTGTTCCACCTCTGTAAACCTTCAAGCTGCTGTTGACTCACTTCCACAGAGTTAACTTGTTTTTTTCTATGTGTGTGTGTGTGTGTGTGTCTAGTACATCCAGGAGGTATTTAGACCTCTTCACTTTATTGCACATTCTATTAAGCAGTAGACTTGATTCTAAATGGATAAAATGGTATTTTTGCACATCAGCCTGCACTCAGTAACACATGATGACACACTGAATACATGTTTGTAAAGATTTTTGCCAGTTGATCAAAAATCCAAATCTGCAATGTCTAGATAACACATTTTTTATTTTATTTTTTTCTGTAACACCCCAGTGTGGTCACTCAAAAATAAGTGTAGAGACACATCTCCAGGATCATTAAAGCAAACAGGATGCACCTACACCACAACAACGGCTGCATAAATCAAATCAAGTCAAGTTTATTGTCATTTTGCTGTACATACACAGTAGTACAGGAAAGATAGGAGAGTGTTTCTTCAGGATTACTGAGTAAGTTTTGCAGAATGCACGTCTGGGATAAGACACTAAACGTTGACTCTCTCTGTCTCCTGAAGCAAAGTGCTTTGAATATTGTGTTCATCGACTCTACACAAAAGAAAAATAGCTATTTTATGTTTGGTGTTTAATATTGCTGCAATCACATCGTATGAAAAAGTCTGCAGCTCTTAAAACCTCCTCACACAATCTGAAAATCAACTTTCAGCAACTCTGAGCATAAAAAACTGTCTTAATGTTGCTGACAACTAAAAACAAACTGTCTTAAAGGATTATTTAATGAACACGGCTGTTTGAAGAGATCGTACAGGTCACGACTCCATGTTGTAGCTTTTTGTTTTTTTGGAATTTGAACGTTTGCTTTGGTGTAAAACATGAAGTCAATTTATGTGCATAAGTTTGGAATAAAGCTGAGAGTCTTTGCCTGAAGCAGAAGACTACAGAAAACTTCAATCGCCACTTAAATAAAGTTTGAGTGTGTGAACACTTTCAAGTCATTACTTTGAACATTAAGTCGCTGCAGCATTAACTTAAACGAGCTTGATCAAACAGCCGTTCAGCAGAAGGGACTCGGCTTTCTTTCCAGGTGCGTGTGTCTGTGTGAGTGTTAAACTGAAATCATACGACGCCCGACGGCTCCCACATAGTCTTCATGTTATCTTTGATACTGAAATAAACCACTAATTGAACCTTACATTTTTTTTTTTATTTCTAGCATTTTATTTTAACATCAGCGTTAGAACTCACAGCATAATGTCAGTCTTGCTTTTAACGGCTGATTTTCCTGCAGGAGCTCACAACTCGTTAGTGCTGGAGTTCAGTTGTGCTTCTAACATTGTTCCTAAATGCTCCATCTGCTACCACATGGGTTTAACACGCATCCTCATCGCTTCCTTCTATTGACCTCTTTGTGCTTTTTGTGTGCTCCTCCCTCAGGTGTTCCGCTCTAAACTGGACAGTGATCCAGGCCTTTCTTTCCATCAGCCTAAATCAGGCTCTGCGTCGCCCCTGCAGCACGGAGCAGCAACGCTGGGACGCAACACAAACTCCAAGGTGGGCTGAGTGTGCAACACTAGCAGTGATGTGGCCGTCGACCTTATGTAAAAGATTGACTTGTTGTCTTTTGAGAATGTGGACCTCAGTTGAACAATGAAGCTGTGTTTGACATGTGATTGAGATGTTTTGCCTGACTCAGCAGAGCCCCCTGCTGTCAGTCGGCAGCACTGGAAGTCTGCCCAGGAACCTGGCTGCAACCCTGCAGGACATCGAGACCAAGAGGCAGCTCGCTCTGCAGCAGAAAGGTGACTGACCCCCGAGTTTTACTTTACCATAATCAACACGCCTCGACGCTGCAAAATTCACGAGTAATGTCCAGTAATGATTCAGTGACGACTAACTGAACACGCCACAAACATCCTACATTTGTTGCTCCTTTATGGTAAATGATTTGTTTCAAATAATTAGAGCATGAGCCAGTCAGGACTACACGGTGCCAGAGTTACATCTACATGTGTGCCTTACATTAAAAAAATACAGTGTTCAACAGAGGCGAGTACACCCCTGTACAGTATCACCTAAATGCCAAATGTCCCTACACGGCATCACCGTACAGTCACTGATGTTAAGTTCAACAGCAGGCTATTTACTACTACGTCAGATTAAAAACTGACAGTTTGGATTTACTATAATAAAAATACAGGCCTCATATCAGGAACTGAATGCATTACTGAGATTCAAATCTTTTTTGCCCTAATACTCCATATGCACACCTTTATTTTTGATGACAGACTCAATCCTCCTCCACATAGAAGACACCACATTTCATTTTTCTCTCTCTTGACTGTGGGTGTGTGTTTCTCCATCTTTCTGTTTAAAACACCCCAAAGTGTTCTATCAGATCTAAGTCAGGTGACATTCTTGGCCGAGTCTTAGTTTGCACTTTTTCTTCTTTCTTGTATGAAGCGTGTATGAATTGTTGTCATGCTGTAAAATCACTCTTCTGCCCAGCTTCTGCAGGCTGGAAGGCATCTTCACTCATATCCACAGTCAGTAATGTTGCCGTCTAGAAATGTCAACACTTTTTGTACTCATGTAGCTCCACATCATCACACACACGTCACCACCGAGCTTCACTGTCAGGACTTTGCATTCACTGTCAGGTTCATGCAAAACGTACATTATTTTAAAAACGAGCTTGCAAGGGTTTTTTTTTGTCCATAGAGGCTGACCTTATACAGTGTCGATCTCACTGTCTGAGCTATGATTTCCACCGATCACCCCTTTGCCAAGTCTGACGCAGCTGCCTGTCGGTCCACTGCAGCTCTGATTGGTGGTAACATAACTCGTTCTGTCCACTCCTGATTACTGCTGCGACTTTGTTTTCACTGATTGTTAGTCTGTTGCTGCTCTTCCTGAATTCTTTGCCACTTGTAAAGTCTCAGAGTCGGAATGTTCAGTTCCTCTGGCGATTCTTCCTTGTGGAGCCATGATGTGCAGATAGACACAGTCCATAGGTCCAAAACTGAGAGAGCTCTGGAGTTCACAGCTCATTTTATGAATGGAAATGATGTGCTCAGTCTAGTTTATGTTTCACTTAACATATTGTTAGTTGGTAGTTTTATTATCAAGGTCAGTGGTTCCCAGTCAAGGTTCCTAACCTTGTATTTACTGGATGATTTACCTACATCATAGACATAAACCGCTAATAACAGTGATGCAGATGTAGACGTTGGTTTAGATACATACTAGAAATCAGAAATGTAGGCATTTAGTGTTGCTTACACAAAACAGAAGACAGACAAAGTGAATGTTTTAAAGACTCAGGAGCACATGTACTCGTTATCTACAAGGAAGTATTGATAAAACAACATTCTAGTCATGAGTACACGCTGCAGCAGACAAACGGATCATCAGTTGTTTGCGCTGCTTGTTGGAAACCTGCTTTTCTTCACTGAGCTCTATGTATGTGTGCGGCATCAGAACAGCGCTGCTTTTGCGTCTGTGCTGTGTGACTAAGTGGATCAGAGGAAAGCAGTCTGGTGCTGTGGCTCAGCTGGCTGCCACCCACAGGTGCTGGGTCGGAAACCGCAGCTGGGCACGTTTGTCAGCGTCTGCAGTTCAGGTTTTCTCATGTGTGCCTGTGTCTGTCTGTGACTTGTCTCTTCCTGCGCCGCTGCACCACAGAGCCCCTGACCTCCAGACAGAACACCACAGAGGGAAGCTCAGCAGGTAGATGGATCAACGCGTCCAGGAGTCCATGATTTCTGATGTTTTCTTCATTTTGTTTTTGGCGGAATTGAGCCTTGTTTGTTCACCTGCTCTCTTTCCATAAATCACAGGCAGTGTCTGAAATCAGCTGTCATTCCTGCAAACAAACTTGTCAAGAACAATCTTTTGTTCACCTCTAATCACTTAAAACATCTAAATTGGAGCGTTTAATTCATCCGACAGGTAAATTAATTTAAAGTAGCCTGTCTTTAGGTAACCATCAAGACACAATAGAAGCAAAGATTTAAAACTCTCTCTTTGCACAGAGCTACAGAACAATCAGGCAGCCAATCAGCAGCCTTAGCTTGAAGGCTTCAACACAAGTAAAGACCAAAGACTGGATGTACCCCAAAAAATTCAAGGCTTATGCAGCCTGACAGGTTACTTCTGTTGATTTATCCATCAAAGGTAACATTTACCAGAAGTTGACACTTGGCTGCTGTTAATTTCAGACCCTGTCTTCACCTAACCCTCTTCTCTTTAGTCTTGTCTTTGCCTCCTTTCTCTCTGGTGTGTCATTAACTCTTCTCCCCCTAAGATTTCTTTTCATCTTTTCTTTGTCTGTAACATTGAATCCTCTTTCTTCTCCCATCAATCTTCTATGAACGTTCCTGCTGCTGGAGAATAAATCTTGCATGTTCAGTCTTCAGTGAGCTCCTCCTTTGGAGCTGAGCTCTTTCCAGATGTACTGTATCTGCCCATTATCAGCTGCACAGCAGCATGGATTTGAAATGTGAGAAGTTGGATAGATACTTAACTTTTGCCTCGACCTTGTGGGACTGGATTTATGTAATTTTCCTCGAGCTTGTATTACTGAGAGAGCACATACTTGTATGTGTGGTGCATGATTATGGTCTACGTTGTGGGCTGGTGCTGGTGCTGGTTTACATTTAGTGGGTTTTCAGTGTTGATGCTTGGGATGACCTACTTACAGCTAGCTTGTTGGTTTCTGTAGGAAACAACCAGACCTGCTGGGTTGTTTATCGTGTTGCTTGCAGGGTGACCGTTGAGTAGTTCTTTCGTCTTCCAGCTCCTATCATAATGAGAACGAATCCACTGATCAGGTCTCCTCCTCCTCCTCCTCCAGGTCAGCAGGTGATCGAGGAGCAGCGCCGTCGTCTGGCTGAGCTCAAACAGAGAGCAGCGGCTGAGGCTCAGTGCCAGTGGGAGGCACTCCACGGCTCTCAGCCCCACCTCATGTCCTCGTCCTCCTCATCGCCCTCCTACTCCCCCATCATGGCCTACAGCCCCGCGCTGAGCCACAGCTCTGTCGGCCCTCCTCCTCTGGTCCACCACTCCATCCTGCACCACCAGCCGCCGTCAGCCGGAGAGCAGCCGTACGACACGCTGAGCCTGGAGAGCTCAGACAGCATGGACACCAGCGTGTCCACCGGAAATAACTCGGCCTGCTCACCTGATAACATGTCCAGGTATGACAGAGGAGCAGACGCACATGGACACGAACACACTGATGAGACTCACAACGTCCATTTATTCAGTCAAGTCACTGACAGCCCTGAGCCGGAATTTAATAGAACTGCTTACATATGTAGAGATATGATCTGTTCTCCTCCGAGTGTGTTGGAGAAGACATGAGGGAGGAGTGAAGTAAAACACACATCAGTAAAGATGTCAGGTGTTTGGACATCAGCCTTTGGCAAAAAACATAAGAGCTGAAAGATTTGTGTCAGCGTTTGAAGACTTTTTGATCCAGACTGGATTCACATCAAGGCTGTCAACATTTTTTCTTAATAACCACAAACCCTCCGCTGCTGATCGTTCATTTCATAACGTTACATATTTTCCACTAAACCGAGCCTCCACATTATCTAAGAATGTACGTTTCTGATTTTTTTTTTTCTTTTTTGACCGGTGCTACGACTAAATGACACCTTGCAGTTGTGACATAATGTCTCACGTAGTTAAAGATGAGAACGGGTGCTGGAATAGTTCATCGGTTAGTTGATGGACTCATTTAATCAAACACTTTGTGGATTTCTCGACGATTGAGTATCAATTTGTTTAATTTTTAAGCAACAAATATTTCGTGTTGAGCCGCAAATAAAGTTATTAGTCAGTCAAACAAAACATGATAATTGTAGATTTCACCTTGAAAGTTTTCTCATAAAATCTCAAAGATTAAGCAAGTAGGGAAGAAAATAAGCTCTACATTATTCAATAATTAATTAGTCAGATGTTCAAACACACCACGCCATGGGAACGGTATTCAAAATTAAACATTTGGCTCCGAGCGTCTTCAATCCAAACATCACTGTTCACATCCAGCTACTGGATGAAATATTAAAATCGGACACACACACGGAGACACGCAGACAGATAATCTGGAGACTCCCCATGAGTTAAAGTCTTTATCCTCAGGTCTGCTGATGTGGAGACCATCTGTGAGTGTGGCCAAGCTGTGTCCCGACAGCTCTCACCGCAGCGCGCGCTCAGCAGCAGACATTGTTCAAATATCTTTTACGGCTCTCAGGAGTGATATTCCAAATGGTTTGTGGGATGACGTTAATGGGTTGTATCGTGTAATGAACAGTGCAGAGTGGAGGCAGGAGCGAGGGAGGAAACAGGGAAGAAGTAAAGTGTGTGAGACAAATGATGGCCAAGACACCGACTGTTTCTATCAGTACCTGGATTGACATGCATGCGCTGCCTCATTTTGTGCAGTTGATCAATCCTGGATGTTGGTGAAAGCTTCACATTTAATTGCACTTTTTGTTCAAATTTGATTCGGCCTGTTTGGTGTTCAGTCACCAACTGAACCTCAGAACCCACGAGGGGTTTGAAAGGCATGTTACATTTTAAAAATTGCAGCATTTCTCAGAGCCAGAAAGCAAATTAATTGTCGGATTTTGAACTGCCAACAGTCCTTGAACTAACCGAGTCATATGAGGTTTGTACAACATCCTGTAGAAAATATTAAATTCTGACTGACTCAGTTGTAACGAACAATCCAGAAATTCAGGAACTTTCTCAGCTGAACTGCATTCTGTGTCTATGCAGAGCAGACAAATATGAAAACAAGTTAGTGAGGTTGAGAGGAAAATAAAAGGTGCTTCATCAACAAAATGAATGCAGAAAAATGGCAGAAAAATAGTTCACACAGGATTAAGTTGTCAGCAAATTGTTGGTGAAACATCTTTCTGGGATGGATGTGCAGAGTAGCATGAAAACGCTGCGTTTACATACACAGCATGTAGAGACACCGTTCTTTCTGAGACTGGTAACACCTGTGACCACTTGGAAAAATCTTGTCTATGTTAAATCCAGGTTTTTACATGTTTTGTAAAATAAATGATCAATTAACTTTTCAGCTTTTATATTTTCTTTGTCACTGTGTCGTACTGCACAGAACACGTTTCTGAGTTCTCTCTGTTTCCAGCCATGTTTCCATTGAGGTGCAGGACTTTATATTACAGTGAGCAAAAATGTGAACGTAGGAAAAAGACTTTTAGAAGCTGCTTTGGGTTCAGAGGGTTGAAATGTGTCAGTCAGTGTTGCTTTTTCAGAGGCGTCTTTACATGCGTGTAGGGTTTCCTCGTCGTCTGTCCTCGACCTGTAGGGAAATAGTCAAATGCTAACTATGAAACCGTTCCACAGGTATTGTTCAAACTCTGCTCTGAGGTAAAAGGTGGAGTCTGTGATTCAAAACACACTTTTAGTCAGAATCAGTGAACATCTAATTACAGACCGTGTGCATGGACAGCAATCAGTGTTTGTGCAGTCCTGGCTCTGTAATTGAGGCACAAACAAAGTAATCGATGCATTGATCCACTATTCCAACACGTCCTGTGAATGTTTGAGCTCGTGCTCAGGCAGAGGGAGGGTAGGTGGGGGGGGAAAGGAGCAGTGGGAGCGAGAATCTTGCACATGCTAAATATCAAAACAAGCTAACCAGCTACGTATGAACCATCTTCCAAAGACTCCGCCTGTAAGTGATGTGAAATGCTGTCATGTCGTTTGTTCAGTGACCTTCATCTGATTGCTGTGTGTTGTTGTGTTTGACTTCAGTGTGGGAGGAGTGGACGCGCTGAAGATCGAGGAGATGGAGAAGATGCTGAAGGAGGCGCAGCTGGAGAAAGCCAGACTTATTGAATCGCGGGTAAGACACAAGTTCAGGAGAGAATCTGATTATCCTGAATCCATACTGAGTGACCGATGAGTCTGTGCAGCGTTCTGGTCGATAGCTTTGAATTAAACATGAATTCGAAAAATAATAGTGACTCAGAACTGTTTATTGGCCTTCGAATGTCTTTTTGTTTTTGCGGCCTGATGAAGTAGTTCATTATAGATGATCCATCTTCTGCTCAAAGGCTTCTCTCCCACATCTCTGCCCTTACCGTCTCTCACAGTTCATTACAATCCACAAGACTCGTTTTCTAATCAAGGTTTGACGGAGTAAAAGTGAAAGTCAGCGTGTAGGAATTATTTAGTTTTTTTACCGTCAAATTAAGGATTCACGGATTCAAGGTCTTTTATGGGTCACAAACACAGTTATTATAGTACAATGCGTTGTGTACATGTTCCACACTGAAACAATAATAATAAGATAAATAAGAATAAGGAATAAAACACACAAGAAATAAAAAATATGTGTGAATATATATATAAATTTAAAAACGCTATTTGTTGCTATGCTCCGTATCTATTTGTAATTTCCTCGTCCTGTTTGCCTTCTTCACTTTCATTTTTTTTGTGTCTCTGCATGTCTGTTTGAAGTCTGTGTATGTACCTGTTTTTGATGTCCTTCAAACTGATCATACCTTCTCTAAAAAAACAACAACAACAAACCCTTCTGCTAAAAGCATGGACCACGGTGGTGGGGCTGCACGGTGGCCAACAGCGGGAGTTTGTGTGCAGCTCCCAGCACAAGATGTACATAAATGTATGAATGTGGAGCTGAGTTCTGACCGGGGAAAAAAAAAAAAAAGAAACATGCGCGCGCTCTGCAAAGCCGTTCCACAGATCAAAAAAATATTTAATGAAAGCTCTCTCCTCCAGGAACGAGAGAGCCTGGCTCGCCGTCAGATGCTGGAGGAGGAGAGGAGGAGGAGGGAGGAGGCAGAGAAAAGACTGCAGGATGAAACTTTCCACCGGCAGCAGCTCGTGGAGAAGGAGGTCAAGATGAGGTCCAAGAACTTCTCTCAGGTCAGTAAAATGAGACATAATTGAGGTTGCATGGTGGAAAAGTGTGAAAAATGACTCCACCTGTCAGCTAAAAGCGTGGCAGACACGGGCTGCTGAGGGTGGAACCCCGGAGTTTTCATGGACTGGTGCTGCTGCAGGCTGATATTTTGTGTCAGTATCATTGAATTAGACGATCTTCATACCAAAAATAACCCCACCTGTAGTTTCAGAAATTCACACCTCTGTGTTTACACCACCGCTGCTCTGTATGTGTCCACAGAAGATGCAACAAATGTACACATTAACACGCGTTTAAAATTTGATTAGAATATTGGGTTAAGATTGAATTTGCAGTCAACTAGCTGTGTCCTGTGTTGTGTTTCTGTACCGGTTCTTCACCCTCCTGTCCCGTCCGTCCAGGCCCGTCCCATGACTCGCTACCTGCCCATCAGGAAGGAGGAGTTCGACCTGCGCTCACACGTGGAGTCATCGGGCCACAGCGTGGAGACGTGCTACCACGTCATCCTCACCGAGAAGATGTGCAAGGGCTACCTGGTGAAGATGGGAGGCAAGATCAAGTCGTGGAAGAAACGCTGGTTCGTCTTCGACCGCCTCAAAAGGACCTTCTCCTACTATGTTGGTGAGACGCGTCGCTCTTGTTCTTCTCAGGCTGCTAGCGGCTGCTCTGCTCTGTGCTCTGTAGAGCAGTTAAAATTTGTCTGGGTGGTGCTTTTTTCTCTCTTTTTTAATGTCTTTATTGCCAATTCAGCAGTAGCGAGAGATGACAGAAGACTTGAACTGAAGAACAGCGTCCCTGGGTGGTGCTTTTCTGTCTGTTCAGCACAGTAGTACTTTTCTGTTCATGTAGCCAAGCCCAAGATTCTTGAAGATACAAACTGCTGATTTTCCTCAGATTAGCCCTGCTGTGAAACTTTCCCTGAGATAATATCAGTCCAAGGAGATGAAAGTTCTCATCCTCGATGCCTGTTCTCTCATAAAGGGGAACATGAAAGACTTTCAGTGTATTAAAGCGGAACATAAACCTTGCATTTGTGCAGCTCCTCCACCAGACGCAGCTCCAGACAGGCTGCTGCAGGCTCATGAAGGGTCAGAATAGTTCCAGACAGTGACACTGCTTCAACACTACGGCTGTTTTTCAGGTGGTTTAGGATGTGGTCCGCTTCTTCACCAAGTGTTTAGAGACACTTTGGATTTGTTGAGGTCAACTTTTAGCCGTCACTCTCTCAAAAGATGTGACTTAACTCAGCATCTCAGCAACATTAAGGCTACTGTAATGGCAATTTTTCAATGTCCTTTAATTGCCGTTACTGCACAGGTGGAGCAGAGTGAACCGACGCAGACCAACAATAGAATCTCCAGTCAGTATACTTGCTGTTAGTGTATGTTTATTCAATGATATGCAAGAAATGAAAATACAGCGGTTTTCCCATGGTGAATTTGGTATCTGTGCAGGTCTGATGCTGGTCTGGTGAGAACTGTTGGCTCTCCCCCTACCTGTGCCTTCCTCTTCCTCTCACCTCTACATATACACCCTGTGTCCAGTTACCACCACCATGTGTCCAAACAATCCATATTAAATTACCTGCCGACAACAAACATAAATGGCTCCTACAGCTACAATCAAGTCAGACTGCAGCAAACTCTGTAGGAGGGTTTAGTCATTTCATTTAGAAGATTATCTGATGGTGTTCCTCATATATACCTTTAACTCTAAATATTACTCAGCCTTTATGACTGAGCAGAAATAAAATAGGTTTTACCATCTCAGTTGCACAGACTGTAAATGTACAAAAATGTAAGTTTTTATTCAAGTTTGAAGTTGAATTTTGTTTACAAAAATCTACCAAAGGTTTCTTTTTGACATGAGTGAAGTGAAATGTTGATCTCAGTAGAATGAGAGACAAAGAAACTGCTGGTGATGAGAATCAGAATCCTTTTTATTGTCATTACACATACGTTACATACACAGAACGAAATTGCAGTTGGAAGTCTCGACTTCCAGCAAAAAGAAGAAAAATGGCACCAACAGACTTCCAAATGGTAATATAGGTCTATAGAGAAGCCACAGGAACACCTTTACAACATAATGTAATCCAGCATAACGACAAAACCACTTCTACTGATGTCTGCAACACAACAGTACTTACTAGTAAAATTCATGCAAATGTTATTCTATGAAAATCATGTCAGCAAAATGTTCTCGTTCTGTTCTGCTCCTCTGAGTCGGCCTTGAAATCTTACTAGAATGGACACAGTTTTGATCGAGTTCACTTCCATGTCCATGTGGGGCTTTTACATGCTGCCTCTAGCAATTACTTTAATAGTTGATTATTTTCTTAATTATTGATTGATTGTTTTGTCTATAAATGGTGATGAATGTATCCTAAAAGTCACATATCTTGTTTTGTCCACAATCCAAAGGTATTCTGTCATAGAGAAGGTTAGAAACCAGAAAAGGAGGGATGAGTGGAGAAGCAGGGCAACATAGATTAATGACTTCTAGAGGTAACAGTGGTGTAGAGTTATGTTTGAGTCATTTTTCGTGGGGATAACTAACATGGACTAAACGTCTAAATATGCAACTTTAACACACAGAGATGCATTTTTTAAGGAGGGACTTTAATACTTTATCATTCTGATTAAAAAGCATTTTACTGGTGCATTTTCTGGTTTTCTATACCGTGCAAGATGCATCATGTTTTCTGAGCTCATCATACGTTCCTTATAATAGATGGTAAATGGTCTATAGAGCCATCCACCCATTCACACACATATTCGTACACCAATGGCGACAGAGCTGCCATGCAAGGTGCTGCCTGCCATTGGGAGCAACTTCAGTGTCTTGCCATTGAATGTGGAGGGGCGGGGGATCGAACCACCAACCTTGCAATTAGAGGACCACCGCTCTACCACCATGTAATGCAGTAAAAGTACAATATTTCTCTATTAAATGTAGCAGAGCTAAAGGATAAAGTAGCAGAAAATGGGAATAATCAAGGGAAGTACAAGTAAATCCAGATCTGTACTTCCGTGCTTGTAAATGTGCAACATTCCACCACTGACTGTGTTTCATTCTGAGGTCCTCCTGTTAATTAGTCCGCCCTGAGTTAATAGTGCTGCTATGCATTCAATTCCTGTGTGTGTGCATACAAGAAGATTTAGTTTTGCAAAGCTTGGGGTTATTTTTGTGTTACATCAGTCAGCAACAGTCAAAATATTATAGAAATAATATGTAAATAGGAGCGAGTGCAGAATGGCAAAGCAGTTGCAGTGAGCCGAACACTGAACATGTAAAGTGGCAGAAATTTTCTGCCGTGGATGAGTGACAGTCGGAACATGTGTCCTCCAGACCTTGAGCAGAATTACATGTAGTATGTAGCATGCACGCTTGTGTAATTTGATCTTGTGCTGCGAGCTCTGGGACACTTGTTCGCTGTCAGGCCTTTGAAGTCCTCAGAAGGTTCCGCTTAAAGCTGCTTAAAGCGTACCTTGTTGAAAGTGAGCCAGCGTGAGGAGGTGTACTGAGATTACTTTGGCAGTAGTTAAAATGCGCTCAGCGCTGCGCTCTCTGAGGAGGCTGATTGAGATGCATCGCTTGCCCTTGTCTCTTGACCTTGAACGATGAGTAACGAGAGGTGACGAGCATAAGTCATGAGCGCCGCTAATTCATGTTAATCAACCTCGACCGCAAGCGGAGTTTTGGTAATTTACATGCAGTCAAATGAGATGCGATTGCAGGGCTATTTGAATGCTAAAGAGGTCATTAGCAGATAATAGCTGCGTATTAAAACCAAAGTGTTATTCCTCGAAATGAAGCGCTGCGTTTTCTACCTACTACTCTTAAGTTGGCTTGTGGAGTGTTTGTGCCTGGAGGTAGAGAGGGGTGTTGAGTTCCCCACCGGTTCCTTACTGCAGTTCTGCAGTGGCTGATGAAACAAACTGCAATGATGTACCAGAGTAGCGTAAGAATGCAGTCAAGTCTGAAAATACAATGAGAGCACCACTGGTTTTAAAAACACAGAAAAAGTGCTGTGCTTGTCTTTTTCCATCCATCATCACAGACCATAAATTGGTCATGATCAAAGTTTGATTCCTTCTTTGCTTTAATGACCGTATCGCGTGTTCTCTCCGTCCTGATTCTAGGTGACATGGAAGCGGTGCGCCTCTGCTTTTTCTCGCCGAGAAAAGTCAGTCTTTGTCAAATTATTTCTGTCTTTGACTGAACCCACGTTGTTTTCCTTCCCACAGACAAACATGAGACCAAGCTGAAGGGTGTGATCTACTTCCAGGCTATAGAAGAGGTCTATTACGATCACCTGCGCAGTGCCACAAAGGTACGCCGTCATCCAGTCATTTCTCGCTTTAATTCTCATCCTACGTTCTCTTTGATTTTGTTTTTTGCGCACTCTGTGTTTTGCTTCATTTTTCCCTGTTGTTTTTTTTGTGTGTTTGTTTTGCTTTTGCTTTGGCCGGCTGCTGTCACAGAAGGGATTTTTCAACTTGAATATGACCAGTGTATGTATCCACGCTTTCTGTTCCCCTCCGTCTCACCTCGCTGAGCCCAGACTGTTAGTGGCACATGGAGAGGAGAGGCTTTGTGGCTCGTGATGCATGGTGAACACGTAGCCTCAAATCCTCACCAGTGTGATTCGTGTCAGTTTGAATTGCTAATCCTGCTTGTCCCCCCCCTCCCCTCCCCCCCGTCTGTCCCAGTGATCCCAGTATAAACCAGTGGAGTGGTTAGAAAACAAGAGCTTCCTCTAACAGTGTTGCCTTTGTATGAAATAAGCTGAGCAGGAGATTCCAACCTGCTGATTGCTTCGTATTAAGAAGTCATTGAAGTCTGTTTAAGGCTCGACAGAAGAAAAACCTGATTTGATCCTTTCTTTGTCATTTATTTTCAAAGAAGCATCTCTGTTGAGGAAGTGGTAGTTTTCCTTTGTAGGTGTAGTTTTTGGCCCTGTTTGTGTTCTTTTGCGATGAGGGCGGCTCGCTGCTTGACTCGAGCCTTGCACGTCTTCTCATTGTTTCGTTTTTTTTTTTATCTTCAACATAAAGCTGCCGCTGCCTCTCCTCATCTTGTGTGTTTGTGTGTGTTTGATGGCCTGTCGCAATGCACCACACTCTGACAAACTGTGTGGCTCTGATCAACTCTGGAACTTTGATTTTACTTGTCACTTCCAATGTCACATTACAGAGGGAAAAACTTTCAAGTCTGCTGCGCTTAGCACACACACACACACAAAGAAACTGTTTTAGAGAAGGAAAAGCGACGCAGACGTTAGGATCAAATACGTTTACTCGTCTGCTCGGTCGCTCCTCAAAAGGCGAGAGCGCAGTGAGGAAAGACTGCAATACATGAAAAGTTTCCTTCTGTTTGTGGGATATTGTCGTTCCCATATTTCACTGAATTGACAGCTGAGAAGTCAGTAATACCAATACTCCAGATGAATGATGATATCGTGTGTTGAGTTCAGTATTGAAAAAAGTTATTTCTCAGTGCAGAACTCGACGTTGTTGAATTACCATTAGACGCGCAGCTACACACTCAGAGCTGAGCATCAATTTTTCAGACAAATACAAGATACCTGACAACCTTGAACAGAAAAAAATCAACTCCCCACTTTTTTTTTGCTGCACAATGATAAAAAAAAAAAAGAGTTTAATTCCATGTCTGCATTTGTTTCTGTGCAGTAGTAGATTTAATATTTTTATGAGGATGTTTTAAGGCGGTTAGTGGCAGTACGACACAACACAGCCTCGATATGTTAGCAAACAGTTGATCTGTGTGTTCACCATAGATCGTATAGAAAAGGGAAGTCAATGCAGAAACCAGCCAGCAGGGGGCGACTCCTCTGGTTGCAAAAAGAAGTCATATTGTATAGAAGTCTACAAGAAAATGATTCGCCCTCTTACTTGATCTGCTACCTCGGGAAAGATTTTCCTAATGAGTTAACGCTCTGACTCGCTAGTTGTAGTCTTAGGAAACTGGATGATAAAGTCGAGTATGTTTAAGGATGCTGCTACACTATAATGCACAAGCCGCTACGGTATCGGGGTGCGTCGTGTTTTCCAGATCCACCTCTTGCCTAGTCGGTAGTCCACAAACCAGTGGGTCTTTTTGCATTTGCTACGTCCATTTTTTTTTAATGTAAGCTCTGGTGTTCACTAGCTGGTTGCTAACTTTGTGCTTATGTGCTGTTTGGCTTCATGAGGTTGTTTCTTTGGAAACAGCAACAACCAAAAGACCTAAACACGCTTCACAAGATATCTAAGTGGTGTTTGGTGTTAACTTTGCGTCTTTAACCCTCGACATTTGATTTAAAAAAAATCTCAGGTAGGAGTCGTCGCACCTGGTGAACAAGACGGATTTTTAAAGATTGGATTTGGAATTGGAGTTTTAAATTTCGGGTTCGTTCTGTCTTGACGTAGTGGTAATCATGAGAGGTGAATAATTCAATCCACACCACAGTTCTCCGGTCGTACATTGAGGCAGCTGTTACTGAACACTAATGTGGATCCAGTCTGTTGAACTCCTCCATCTACAGCTGGTGTAGTTCTGATCACCGCTACAGGGAGTGTGCACCGCAGCGTACAGAAGGGTGAAATCTCGTTTAACTCAAAGAGGCAGCAGAGAGTTGGTGGGCTGTGAATCTGTACAACAGACTGATTGTGGTTTCGTCCTGCAGAGCCCCAACCCCTCCCTGACCTTCTGTGTAAAGACCCATGACCGGCTCTACTACATGGTGGCCCCTTCAGCGGAGGCCATGAGGATCTGGATGGACGTGATCGTCACAGGAGCAGAGGGATACACACAGTTCATGAACTAAGAGACACACTTAGAGTGCAGGTGATGAGCAGGTAGCTTCGGCAGGGACTCTCCCATCACAGACTCTACAGGTCCTTCCTGTTTCCAGTCCTCCGCGGACACCACGCCTTCTTTGTTACCTTTCATTTTTAATCACACTTTGATTTACCGTGTAGATGTTTCCACCTCCACATTTTTTATGTGATGCTGTTTGGATTGAAAAAGGGAGCCCTTGGCGGACACACAACACACAACACACACACACACTTCTGTACATAAACCAAAATATATATACCTGTCAAAGACTTTCAAAGCCTTTCTATATTGCCAAATGGAGATCTTGTAGTTACTGTTTGTTGAATCTTTTGTATTATTTGTTTCCTTGATTTCTTTTTTACTTCTAGAGAAAATTGCCAAATGACATAATGCCAATGTTTTTTCTTTGAGTGTTTCATCACGACTTTGCTCAGTTTGAACAGAAATTGCTTAAAAGAATCTTCAGTCAAAGGCCGTAATCATTTTTAGAGACATATTCGGGGGAAAAAAAATACAAGTTTATCCAAAATGTGTAAATCTATGAGAAATAATAGAAATCAGTGGTTGAGCAGGGGCTGGAGAGGATCTGATCGTGCAGCACATTCGTCTGGAACAGTGAAACACCACCGCGTCCTCCAGTCACGTCACCTCACTGCTGCTCACCGACTAAATCCAGCAGGATCAACAGCACATGTAGGTGTTCAGAGCTACATCCTGGTCACATCTCCTCACACAGGCTTACCAAAGTAATTGGAGGTATTTTGTTCGAGTTTGTCCCACGACGCTCAGGAGTTCACTTTGCAGTTCTCACAGTGGTTTCACCAGTATGTGGTTTGGAAAATAAGTACCAGCATTGGTACTGAAGCTGCTCGTTACCAGTGTTTTGTGCAGTATTTGGTATATCTGAGTTACTTTGAATCGATGTTCCATTAAACCCATAGCATTCAAATACTTGAGAAATGTGCTTGTATGCGTCCAGGGTCACAGCTGTCAAGAGTTCCAGATGAGGCCGAAACCGCTCACACATCGTACATATGAAGCTACAGCCAGACGACTGTTAACGTAGCTTAACATAAGGCTGCAAGCAGTGGGAAGACGGCTAGCATGCCTCTGTTTGTAAAAACGACAAGTTGTAGTTGTTGTGTGCTTTAACTGTGTCTTACGTTCATCCTGAGAGCTTCAGGAGAAGATAACTGGACTTGTTTTTGGTTTCATCTCAAGCAAAAGGCTTCCTCGGACTGGCTGGAAGGTATTTCATTCTCAAACCCAACTCACATGGCTCAAGACCCATTAACAACCCAAAACTCCCAACAATCCTCGAGCTGTGATTGGTTGCCTGGACAGTGACTTCAGAACTGATCAGTGGCGTTGTAGACCCCCTTTCCTGTTTAGAAGTGGCTGTTCCAGTTTAGCATAGATGGCTTCCTTAACTTCTCTCTCAAACCATCTGTCCAGAATGTGGACGTTACTGTCCTCAAAGAAGAGTCCGTTATCCTTTAGATGCAGCTGGATGGCTGAGTCTTGTCCTGTTTTGAGCCATGCGCTAATGGAGCGGTTGTTTGGTTCCCTCTATATATAAGCCTGTGCACTCCCTGCTGCATTGGACTTTGCTCAGCCAGTGTTTGCAGAAAATATTTCAAAGTTTGTCAGACACACCAGCTCCATAGAGGATGGTTTGGCGGTAAGAATGAACCCCTGGGACTCCCCACCAGTCAGAACTGAGGAATCCTCTTGGTTGGGAGGTGAAACACATTCACAAACCAAAAACAATTCCAGTTATCGTCTACGAGGCACTTAGGATTACCACGACCTGATGACTGAGAATCTACACAGTCCAGTCGGTGAATTTCCCAACTGCTTCCAGGTTTTATGCTAAGCTAGCGCTCTCCTTGCTCTCGCTTAATTCTTTAGGTTCTACCTGATTGGTATGAAGCTAAAACTGGTTAGCTTAGTTTATCCATCTGCTCATTGAAACATCATCACCAAATCCAAACAATTTACTGTGTAATGAAAAAACGGTCAGTCCATCATATCGGTTGACGGACGCTCAGCACTCAGAGGTGACCACCAAAAAGACTGTGTTGGTCTCACCAAAGCTGCCACATTCTCAGTGTACTTGTGAACATGTCGAACAGGAATCTGTCGCTGTCTGTATGAAGCCGTCATGTTGCCAACTCAAGGTGCAAACTGCATATCTGTGTGTGCGCACATAAACAGGTGAAGCTCATCTATTTGCCAAGTAGCCTGTAGCTAACTTGATGATGTGACTACACACCACTGCCAGCCTACAGCGACAACGACCACCAGAGGGCGCTACACCAATGCAGGACCACACAGGATCAACGCTACGGACTAATGCAATTCAGAACTGTGCCTTGACTGCGTGTTATTGATGCCGTGTCTGTGAGTCCAGAACAGCCTCGCTTGGGAGGCTGCGATCGTATGAATGAATTTTAATCCGAGTATTGCTGTATGTTGACGGGTTTGCATGAGGTTTTCTACTTCACCACGGGGACGTCTGCCTGCAGCTACATTACAGGCAGAGATACCGCAGGCCTTCAGCACAGTGGGGATCAGCGAGATCACCGTCAATAATTCAACAGACAAGATATTTAGCCGATTTATTTATGCTACTAAAGGGGGATTTCACCAAGTTTTATGTCATTTTGCAAGTCATGAGGTGAACCAGCTGGACTTTTCTGTTCAGACATTTCAAAAAATGACCCTAACGATGTCCTAGTGATGACATCAGGGGGATCGTGGCTCCATCTTTGAGCAGAAAATTAGTGGCAAACAGAGGGCAGTTAAAAAAAAATTGGGTGCACTATTGAAGTGCATTATGGGAAATGTAGTATTTAGTGTCCTGACCCACAGAAAGGAGCATCGATCAACGTCTATGCTTCAGCTTTTTTCAACTTGCTGAAGTCTTTTACAATTAAACAAGTTAAAAATGCAAGTTGTCCCTAATTTGTTGATTTGGTATTAAAGCTGGAGTAGGCAGAAACTTGGAAAAGGCGAAAGGAAGGCAATTCTGTTGCAGCTCTCCCCCCAGACTGTTTCACCTTGGACTGTTCATACTGCCTCACCTGATCAATAAAAAGCCATATGAAAGGTTAAAATTTCCAGTTATGGGCTTTTTTTAAAAAAACATGACCAGGAGAAGGAGCAGAAGTCTGGTTTCTTCTTCAGTACTTGAACATGTGATACGATGAAAGGTTAATGTGGAATCTTGTGATGTAAAAAAAACAAAACAAAAAAAAACCTGCTTAATCCAGTTTTAATTTAGATTCCGTTGTATATAAAAGTCATATAACGTGGGCGGATTTTTGGTTCCAAACATTGGGTTTTGTATTTCTTTGCCTTAAAACGACAAACTGTTGTTTTTCTTTGCTGCCTCATGAGGAGTGATCCCCTGCGTTGTATCCCCACTGTGAGCCAGAGCCTGCATGCATGAGGACGATGGAAAAAAAAAAAAAAACAATCTTCAGCTTTAACAGACTGTCTTTGTCGTGCAGTGTTGATCATCGCATTGTGAATCTATTGATCGGCCGTGATCAGTTTGTAGTCAGCAGATCCCAGACGCAGTTCCCCCCCCTCCTCTCCCTTTTTTTTTTTTAATTTTAATTTTTTTTGGGCAGGAGTAGACGACAAACTACGCTGTGATTTATGGAACATGTGGAACTGCTGTTTAGTTTCATGTGTCGGTACAGTGATGATGATAATTTATGGTCGTGGTGCCTGAGATAGTGACATGTTTACTTCTTGAAGAAAAGAAAAAAAAACAACAACAAAAAGTAGAAGACTAGTGAAAAGACCTTAATATATTCTGTCCCCCCTTGCCTTTACTTTCCCTGCACAGCTGTGCAAACCAAACTATTCAACACTGGCAAGGCTGTTAAATGATGTCTGTTGATAGTCGGTGGTATATACATTGTTATCTATGTTGAAAAGAAAGAAAACATAATATACTGTAAAGAGGATGCCTGAATGAAAACATGATCTTACTATTGAAATGAAAAGAAACAGTATTGTATGAACAGAAGTACAATTTTTACTTATTTTTGTCATTTTAGAAATTTTATTGTCAGTCAGTTACATTTCAAACTGTATGGTAGTGATGTATCGAGCTACCTTGTTTTAATTTGTTTTATTCTTTTTACTGGTACAGCAGAACACACACACACACACACAACACACACACACACACACACACCAAGAATAACTCACCTAGCACTCATGAGACTGTACTTTTGCTTTTTTCTAGAGAGTAGATCCTGTCACACACACACACACACACTCACACACTCAGTACTCGGACCATACTGTTATTGGTACCCTGTATGTCTCATGCGTCACTTTCATGTATGAATAATATGGATTTTGTCAAATCTATTAAAAACATCTATCACAGAGCTTTTGGCTGCTGTACTTGGATTCAGAGGGTTATAATGTGCAGGTTCCAGTGTTACAGTGAGACGCAGCTCTAACTACCGTATGGATTCTGACTGATTATTGGTTTCGTCGTAATCTGCAGGACAACAGAACCCCTACCACCGAACAGAAGTAGAACAAAAAAAAAACAAAACAATCAAAAGCTAAAAATAAAAGATCAAATTTGCACCTAGAATTAACACCAAGTGGGATTCGCTCTCAATGAAACACGTCTAAAAAGAAAGTAAAAAAGTTAAAGAAACGGTCTAAGAAACAAAATAAACACCTAGAAGTTTCTTTCTTTGACACAGTGATTCTTCCGTCTGAAACACTTCCCGTCGCAGCGTCACAGGGTTTGGACGTTACAGCTCGTTGACGCCGTCGCCTGCAGAGAAAATACATGTTGTTTAGCTGGAAACCACACAGACATACATTCACTGTTTAAAGAAAAGAAAGTCTGTGTTGATTAATCTGACCTCCTGTGTTTACAAAGACACTAACCTAAATAGGACAAATTACAGTCGTGACTCGATAATCCGACACTAAATGTAAAACCTTCATTTATGTCGGATTGTCAAGATGGAGGTCGAGATACAAGGAGGGCTTGATGCTGGAAGGCTCATTAGTTGTTCATATTTATTGTTCATAGTTGTTATAATAACTCGCAGGGCTGGTCCCAATAGCACTTTCTGCTCAATTAATGATGAATATCAGAATATTCGGTGCAGTCAGGGGGACACTTCCACCCTGTGGGAGCGCTCCGACGGGGTGGAAGTGGCCAGAACGCACAGACAGAACTTGGCTGCTGATGCTAGTTCAGTTAGCAGTTTCCACCATCGGTGACTGCGGCCTCCACCGTTACCATCCATGTTTACTTCCATAAACACTTCGACGCTCGCTGCGTGTGACGTCGTCGTGTCGAAAATGTTACAAAAATGAAAAATCAATAAATGTAGAAATAGTTCAAAGAAACTGCCACAAATGAAAAATTCCCTATAAATCTAAACTTGTCATCAGTATGAATGATTTGATAACTCTGCCAGTAAACGGTGCGATCTTTTCCTTAAACCTATTTTAAAACCAGTACTTTTCGCTGCTATTGTGACTCGACTTTGAACCAAATTGGGACAAACAACACGTATAGATGAGGGTTTATCATCATGTCTAGCGCCTCAGTTCTACATCGAGTCGTACTTAATGTGGCACAAAAACAATCAGGATCAACGTACTTTCTGCACAGGCGGACGTGTAGTCGGTGACCGCCTCATCGCCTGAAATATGAGGAAAAAAACATGTCAGTGCAGAAACAAAACAAAGCAACAACAGTGATGAGAGAGGAGGAGGGAAACGATAAACCACATCAAAGTCTGATAGCAGCAGGTTCTAGCTGAGGTCAGTGGATATCAGACACATTAGACACGGAGGCTCTTACTTGTCTGGTAGTAATCGTAGACTTTAACCACAGCCGGTTTCAGGTTCCTGACAGGCTGATCCTCCTCCAGAGTCACGCTGTATATCTGCGTCTCGTCCTTCTTCAGCTGCGAACACAAACAACACGATTCCAGACACCTGATTACCATTTAAACAGCCACAAACGAGAACATGCACAGAGGAAGCCTCGCGCTGCCTTTTTTTTTTTTTTCCACCTAAAAACAGAAACTGTCCGCCTTCACGCATCGTGTTTGTTTCCGTCTGAGGCTGCTCTGCTGTGATCTACACACCAGGCTTTCTGCAGAGTTCCCCCACATACAGCACTGTGTTAAAGCCTTTAATGTGACACAGGATGTAATATAACAATGTTTTAATGAACCATCAGTTAACAGCAGTAAAAACACGAGGCCTGACTTAAATCTACTGACATAACTTTACATTTTTGTCAGTACTGTACAACAATTTGAGTTGAAATCATTAGTGGATTAACTATTTGATAGAAACTAATTATTTAATGTAATCTTGTAAAACTGTTGAGGGGTTTCAAGCTTTTTAAAGATGAGACTTTTGCTTTTTATTGTCTAATGTGACAGTAAATTGAAGACTTTGTGATTGTTGTACTGCTGGGTTTGATTTTTTTTTTACTGTATTCCAATGTTGCACAAACCAAACCATTAATTAAAGCCGCAAGCGGCGATGGACGGGTCCTCGCCCTACGCTTGTCGGCCTTCG